TCATCTTGAAGAAGATGTATAATTACAAATATGGTAGGATATGTATAGAACGAAAGAAGAAATCTCTTGACCCATAGATTAAGATCTGACAATGTCAATAATAATATTGGGTCAATATCAATGCAATTATGTTTTAAGTGAAAAAATATAAAAAAAATGGGTGTGACATTAAGTCACTAACTATTGAATTTTTTTTTTCTACCTTTTACTTTATAGTAGTAATGGAATGTGAGACCTCTAACAAAAAATTATCGTGGGCCTACATTGTTATATCATCTCATCATCGAATCTAATTTCTTTTTAAGCGAAATTACTTCTGCAATCCATCTTTCAAAGTCACATATTTATGGGCAAACTTATCATCGAATAAAGATTCTCATGTTTCCTATCCACAAAGAAAAAAAAAAAAAAAAAACCTCTTGATAAAATACAAATAAATTGAATAAAAAAATAATTGGACTTCTTGGACAAACACCCTTAAGAGAGAGTTCTTTTCTCAAATAGCTAACCGTTTCAGCAAATCCATCCTTTCTCAGCTTTCTATTGTTGTTGATTTTCCCAATCAGTTATCTCATGATCAGTCAATTAGCACCGAACAATATAGTGTCAAATTTTGGATGAGCCTATGCTCGTGTACGAAATGTTTGCTTGTTGTAAGTCTCATCGGAAGAACACTATGATTTTCAAAGTTGATTTTAAAAAAAAAAAAAAAAAAACTTCTGAATTTATACGATGAGATTTTATTGATGATGTACTGGATAATTGAGCTTCGTTTGAAATGGATTTGATGGATTCAAGTGTGTCGACATTCCTTTATGGGATCGGTTTGGTTAATGGTTCTCCCACAATTGAGTTTCAATTTTAAAGGGGTCTTTGTCATGATGACTCGCTTTCATCTTTTCTTTTCATTTTGGTGAAGGGATGTGTACATATCGCCTTTTAGAATGCTTCTGCAAGTGATGTGTTCAAATATATTTACATTGTTGACACGGGTCTTAGGTTTTATCTGTTATAATTAGATGATATTATCTTTTTTACTGAATGATCAAAGTCGAACATTATAAACATTGTTCAAGACTTCAGATCCTTTCAATGTTTATACTTTTTTATGGATTAAAAATAAATCTTCATACAAATAAGTTTGTAGTATTGGTTTTCATTTTTCAGAGGGTGGATAATATGGTTAAGATTATTAGTTGCAATTTGTTAAAATTATGAAGTGAAGCATGTATAAAAAATAATAAAAAATCTCTGGACCGATGGATTAAGATTTGAAATCTTAAATAAAAATTGGAGGTCCAATATCAATGAAACCATGTTTTAACTAAAAAGAAAATTCTTGTACAACACTAACCAACCAAACAGCTAAACTTATATCTTGGTGACTTTATATTTTTTAGTAGTAATCATATATCATGACATTATTATCAATTAATATTCTTATCAAATCCACTATGTTAAGCATGTCTATATCGTATGGTTTCAATTACAAGGATGTTTATGATAAATTTAACATAATTCTAAACCGGTGTTTTATCTTATCTTGTCTCAATACCGAATCTAATTTCTTTGAACCTATTCACACTTTTTTTTTCTTTTGAAAGCCTTTTTAACTCATGGATCTCTCTTTTTTCTTGAAAGCCAACTACAAGATTTTCCACCATTTGCTAATTCCTATGACCTACCATTCTTTTCTTCACTTTCATCTTTCCCGGTCAAACCCTCAACTTAAGCATCTTTTTTTTTATTGTGTGCTTTCAAGTTCAAGGAACAGGATACACTAATCTTGGAGCATAAAATGATCTTATTTCATTCATTTTGTTTGTTAGTAAAAAAAAAAATTTGAGAAATTAAATTGTTTCACAAGTCACATTAGCGCTATTTATCGTTAAGACCTAGATGAACTACTAATATCCTACACAATTTTGTCTTTTTTCTTGTCATCAACACTTTGTATTCGATTTTTCCTTCTCCCCCACAAGATTTTGCTTATGAAGAGACAAAACACAATAAATAAAGATGGATAAATCAGAGACATAGAATGAGAGTTTCTTTTGTCTCCTTTGTACAAGAGTACTTAATAAAGATTAGATCTTTCAATAGGTTACAAGACACACCGTTAATCCATATATATGATTATCTTGGGATCTACAAGAATCTTACATATCACATTTCTATTTTGAGTCTTCTTGTTATTTTTTTTTTAACCTGACAATTTTATTAGACCACATCCAAACAAGACTTAAAGTAGATTTAAGTAGCTTCTTGTAGATTTACATTTCTGAAGCCTAAAGAGACTTGGAAACTACTCCCAAATACCTACTTCACAAGGGTTAAACTTAAACGACCCCAAAGGCCGACACACAAGTAATGGTGACAACTTTCGATCCAACATGTAACCCAAAACTAACCAAACCTAAAAATAAACGGGTTTGGATTGAGATTATATATATATATATATATATATATATATATATATATATATATATATATATATATATATATATATATATATATATATATATATACACACACACACACACACACATTGTATTTAAAAAATAGAAATATTTAATTATTAATAAAATCTGATTTTCTTCCATATTCGTAATGTTTCGTATCATTATATTCCTTCCGTATTCATATATGGCTAGTTTTTTGCAATACCCTAGTCAAAAAAGAAAACACACATATCGTCATTTTTTAGATAATAACGAGTCACGAACGAACTTTTTGAATTAATATTTTACAATTTTCGGTTTTTTCTTATTTACTAAAATTTTATATTATTTTTTTCTATTCCTTATGCAATTGATTTGAATGTTGTTGACAACCTAACTCAAAATGTAATAAATTTGAACATCAACGAAACAATATGAAGGCTACAAATTCTAACACACTTTAAGTTGTCATTTGGTGAGATTTTTGTTTGTCTACAAATTCTAACACACTTTAAGTTGTCATTTGGTGAGATTTTTTTAGTACAAACAGTAGAAGACATATTTATTTATGTAGCTTTCAAAAGATCATAAATTTAATTTTGCATATCGTTTCTAATTGAAAGTCATCATGAAGAAATCGGTTTTGGAGGAAGAAATGAGAATTCTAGCATAAATGAATTGATTTTTGTATATTTTTTAACAATTGTACTTTATATGAATGTTTTTATTTTTCAATTTTACTTGGATGTTAACAAATTTATAATTTTATTGAAAATTTGTTGCTTATTTATGAAACGGGTTATGCGGGTTGGGTTCGACGCAATAACCTGTGAACCCGCGAACCCATATAATTAAATGGATTATATAGGTTGGATTGAAGTTTCCAACCTGCTAACCCGCCAATCATATATTATAGAAAAAATGACACTGTAGCCCTACAATGTATTTTATATTGGCTGATTCAGTCCCTTATATTATTTTCGTGTCTTTTAAGGGAACAAAGTTGGTTTTGTCGGGTGGAATAGGTCTTTTTGTAAAAACTAAAAGGGTCAGACGGTCATCTAAAACCCATTTAACCAGTCAATGCTTTCTATTCTTCCATTTGACTAGTTCTTGTCCATTTGACTACTTCTTCTTCCTTCTTTTTCTCTATTTCTTCTTCTTCTTTTTTCACGAGATCTTCATATCCTTTTTACTTCTTCTCATCCAAACAAGAAAAGATGTTGATGTGCGATTGTGGAAGCATGACAATCATAAGGACTTTCACGACTAAGAAGAATCTTAATAGTGAATACTATGTTTGCCGAATATGGTACTCCATTCTTATTCTAACCTCGATAACATTTGGGATTTTTTGTAAATGATGATTATTGAAATATGCAGGGACGTAGGAGTGGGTTTCTTTTGTGGGTTGATGAGGCGAAAATCATAAGCACACTGCTGAAGTCCAAAATCAAGTTTCAAGGAAGTGATAATTCAAAATCGGAGCTTGAAGGAGATGGTAAGCCAAAATCGGAAGCTAAAGATTTGCTTACTACTCAGTTGGGTTTTGTTTTTTGGCGTTATTGTTTACAAGCTGTAATTTGATATATGCTAGAACTGAACTTGCTATGCATCAATCGAATAATTGTATGTTGGTTTTTTGCAAAACTAGAACCTTTCGTCTTCCTCCTCCCTCCACCATCATTAATATTCTGCTTCACATCATCTTTTTCATCGAGGTTCATATCCATCTCTATTGAAGTTACAGAACAAAGATCAATTTATAGAAATGGAAAGCAGTCAAAGTCAATACAACAGATGAAGTCGATAGAGGGAACAATCGGAGAAATTCTTGTGTTGTAGAAGTCGATACAATCTCGATTGCAGAAATCAATACACTCCGATTCCATACAGTCCAACTCGATATTTTTCCGGTTTACACTTTGATTTTGATTTTTACTATCCGATTTCAACTTTGAAATGACTAGAAACTAGATACTAAAGGTAGAGATCCCAAAAGAAACATATCACTACAAACTTTGTTCCCTTAAAAGACACATAAAATAACATAAATGATTGAATAAGCAAATATGAAATACATTGTAACTATATTATAATGGGCTGATTGATTTTATGTTTCTTTAAACCGTAAAGAAACAAACCAACTCCATCCGAGTTGAATTCATTGGCGGTTGACACCACTTGACAAAATATCAACTTTTTCTAGATTCCACAAATATTATAGAAAATTTTATGTTTTGAAAAACTTAAAAACTCGATTGGTATAAAAACAATAACCAAACCTTTAACATTATACATCCCAACTAGATATCATGTGTTGCTCAGATTAGGAGTTACTTAAAAATGCGATTCAACTTGATTTTAAAAATTTGGGGTGATGTACTAGTAAAGTAGGAAACCCCATACGCATGTGAATATGATAAGTTATTAATATTCGAAGATAATGTAATGTAATGAGCTTTTAAACACTTGGATCGAGTACATGGGATAATTATAACAACCCCACGTTGAGATAAATTGTTGGGTTTAATCACATAATCTCAAATTGACATAGGACATATACGTCACTCATGTTTAAAAAAAAAAAAAAAAAACAATGTACTACACAAAAGTAACAACTACATTGGGTTTTATTTGTAGTCAGAAAGCTTGCTTCACATTTTCCTCCATTCACAAATACCCTAATCCCTCCTCTTCTTCTTCTTCTCCTCCCTTTCAGCCGAATTCTTCAACTGCATTGCATAAAACAACCTTAAATCCTCTCCATACCTTATTAAAAACAAAAATAAAACCAACTACTATTAAAAGCTAAAACTCACCATGATGATAAGAATGCGAACAAAAACAGCAATGAAGTCAGTGAAAAGCGTAAGAGCATGTTTCACATAATCCAAATCTCCAAGATGAGCCTTTTCAATGATATCCTGGGTGTCAACCACCATGTACCCAACAAACACTAACAACCCAAAGTACAACTAAAAAGCAAATTAAACGCTAATTAGTTGAAAAGAATTCAAAAAAGAATGGATTAGGATTTAGGGGTTTTAAGTATTACCTCAAATTTGAAAAGGGCAACAGAGCCACCAAAGATTGATGAAGCAAAATGTAACCAGAAAAGGATTGAAACACCAGAAGAGAGAAGACCTCCAAGATAAAGATACTCTCTGCGTCTTGCTAACATGGCAGCTCCTGAGAAACAAGCAAATGCGATTGCAGTTCCCATGAACGCGCTCACCAAGATGCTGCAGAATGTAATAAAGAACATGAATCAAGAAACTTGAATGTGTGAAATAGTAAGTTTAAGAATGTAAGATAAGAAGAGGAAGGAGAAGAAGAATGAACCTTGGGTCAAATTCTATGGCTAAGTCGATTAGAGGACCGATGGAGGCTCCTTGGAGAAGAGAAGATGCCATTAATAGAGAGACTCTTTTTTGCTGGTGGATTACAAGTTGTTTTAGAATGACATGAAGAACAAGAAATCAAGATTTGAAGGAATGTTATAGGATTGAATCTACCTCTTGATATTGTGGAGTGGCGAGTAGCCAAAACATGCAGCCCAATGTTCCGAAGGTGGTTAGAAGGCCACCGATGTTCCATAGGATGTGAAGGTAAGCCCCAACTGCAGATGCCATGAGAGCGCAACATAGTGAGAGGTAAACCTGCAATTACATTATAGGAAGATACTTGTTAACGACAGATTGAATTATATGGAGTTACCTATGAAAATCCCCAAATTTCAATTTCTATGCAGGATTTCATTTGATTGTTTTTACTACTTCTGAATTGAACGATTTCATCTTGTGTTTTGTGGCAGTGATCCTTAATGTCAAAGACCGGAGTTTTGAATTGAACAATTTCGTTTCATTTCAGTTAATTGTTTTTACTATGATATAAACTATTGATAAACACTTCTGAATTGAACGATTCCATCTCGCGTTTTTTAATAGTGATCCCTAATGTCGAAAGACCTGATTTGATAGCTTTTTGTTCGGCAATAAGTTTCTATACTCTCTCAGAACAATCCGCCACCGAAAAGACAATCTAGATCACAGTTTTATCGATGAATTCTTTCCCGATTGGACAAACGAAGTTGTTAAACCGAAGGAATCATATAAAAATTTCACAGATAAAATACCAACGAATTTCAAATTCGTTGCGTCTCACAAAAGTAAACCTGAACACGAAATGATTTAATCGTTTTCTTTTTCAAAAACTCCATCTATACTAACGAAATGATATTCAATAAGAATTAGGGCAAATTAAACATACCTGTTTGAGATGAGTCTGAACTACGGGAGAGATTTGACGGAAATTCTTGAGAGAATCGTAGGTCCAGCTGTTTGGAGAAGCCGATCGCGATTGTGAATCGAAGAACGATGAGAATGATTCCATGGTAGTTGAAGAAAATAAAGAACTATGAAATTTTGGTATTGAACCGATGACTTTTGGGGTAAGAAAATATGCGATATTTATAGTACACGTTTGCAGACATAGTTAAGTAATCCGGTAGTTTCGCGAAGTCGCCAGATGCCTATCGAAAATCTAATCGTCAACCATAACAACTTGTATATTTTTTATACATATTAATACTAGTTCATATTCATGTATTATAAAATTTTAATAATTTAGGTAGTTTGAATTTATAAGAAAAATAAGAATGAATTTAAATTATTAAAATTAATTAGACTTTAATTCATTGAATACATTACATATATAAATCATTTCTAATAAATATATTAAATATATATTACCTTATATATTAAATGTGAAATTTTAATTTAATAAAATGAAAATTACAATAAAATGACAAGTGAAAAATAGAAAATTCAAAAATTCTAGAAAATGTCATGTGTCCAAATGAAGGAGAAGATGACATGTGACAAAAAAACCATCATTTATTAAGGAGGATTAGTATTAATACTTGATGTGACATATATATATATATATATATATATATATATATATATATATATATATATCCTAATTCTAATAAATAAGTAGAACTCGGCTACGTGGCATTCTCCCAGCCCCCTAAAATAGAGTTTTCCCGCTCATTTTTTCTTCTATATTTACGTAAATGCCATTGAATCCGAAAATTGAATAAAAGTTCAAACTGATGCAATATATCAGGAAATTTTAGCTGTCAACTGCATTCAAAATATTCATGCATTAATTTTAAATGAATAAAGATTATGAAAATAATTTGAAAAAATATGTTAATGAATAATCAGATCCGAAAATCACGATTAAATTTGAAAGTTTGTTTATTTTGATTGCAAATTCAATATATTGCAATCATTAAATCCCTAAAAATCTGCAGTATTTTTCAGCAAACGTAAATATCATTTATACGGTTATTTTTTTTTTACCATTCTGCTCCATAACAATTTTGCTCCATAGAAACCACAGCAAACGTATTCTTCTTCATTCTTTGTTATTCTGCAACGCTTCAAGAATTAAATATCAGGTTAGTGTATTCAAAAATCAGAATTACCAATATTTCTATTTCCTCCATGTTCTTATTTATCTGTATCTATCACGTTCTCATTGTATGATTTCTATTCTTCTTCTTTTTTGTAATTCTTCTTAATCGTCTACTTCTTCTACCTTTTTCAGTTTAAAAGACGAAAAACTAATGAACATTACAAGTTCATTTTCTTTAAAAAAAAATTAAAAATAGTCTTTTTCAGATGTGCACAGTAACTTTTTTTATGGTATGAAATTTTTAAAATTTGTTTTGTTTTTATCTAAATACAATCTCAAAAAATTTAGAATTTTAAAATTTATGAGTACATTAAGTCAGTTGTTATTGTCATGTGTTGATTTTTAATTTTTCCTGTTTTACTCATTGTTATGTTATCTGTTAGTGTTAGTATGTTGCATGGCATTTTCGGTATAATTGTCGTTTTCATGTTTATTATATATTTGTGTTCCATCTTATTATATAAACTTTTATTCAATCTAAAACATTATTTCATATGAATTATTTGTTTTTGTTTGTATTCCATTTTATTATAAAATGAATTATTCAATTTAAAAAATTTATGAGTACATTAAGTCAGTTGTTATTGTCATGTGTTGATTTATAATTTTTCTGTTTTACTTATTGGTTAGGATGTTCTGTACATTTTAAAAGGTTGCTAATTTTCCTTACAATTCTATAATGATTAAATTTATTGCAGAAAATGGAAATAGAAAATAAGGTTTACCTAAATAACATTGACCAGATAGATGAAAAACCACATATCAAGGTTCGGGTGCTTAAAATTTGGAACTTTGTCAGAAATAATAAAGTTTGTTCCATTGAAATGATCATCATGGATGAGGAGGTTTGTTGTATTTGATATATTTTTTATTCATCATTCAATATTAGACATGTTTCATGAACATAATAAAGTCATTTTGAAGTAACGAAATTGTTCATAAATTCTGACATATATGAAATAAATGAGTTTAAAAATAAGTTAGTTTCCAATTGTTTTTTATTTTTTTATAATGTATTTTAACTTAAAAAAACACAAAATAAAATATATTGCCCCTAACTTGATAAGTATTTCATATATCGCAATTAACAATTAAGACAAATCAATCAATCAATCAATTTGTATAATAAAAATGCGAAATTCTTAGCTTTCTTCCCCAATTCGCATTCTACGGTAAAATTCGCATTCTTCATTCACCCTCTTTCTTCGCATGTTCCAGTCATTTTTTTTTTTAGTTCATTCGCATTTGAGTTGTTTGTCTCACCAAATGCGAAATTAATATTAACCATAATCACCTTCGCATCTTTAACCCCAATCCATACAACCTCATATGCGAAACCCAATTTTGATTTGTATTACCAAATGCGAACATTTTTGCTTTTACACGTGAACTGCATTTGACTCCAATATTGAACAAATCACATTTCACAGTCCTTCTTGACTTTGCATTTTTCTTCACGAATCGTCCCTCAATCAATAACCCAATTAACCCAATTGCGAATCTAAAATCAAAACTTATCTGTTTTCATATGCGAACCCAACTGATTGGCTTTTCAAAATCAAATTCGCAACTCCAAATCGTTCGATTATTCGCCCCAATTCCAAAATCAAATAACAGATCCTTCGTATGATTCATTTAATAACCAAGGCTTCGTTCCAGAAAACATCGAATTTAACAGTTATTCGTTCCCACAATCTTTAACCTCCGTTTAAAATCGATCCCTGTATACAAACCCAATAACCAATCGAACACATACCATTCGAAAACAATAATCATTACACCCTTCAACAGATTTGACATCGCATTTCAAAACAATCGATCTTACTTCATCTGCTTGATATATCGCAATTAACAATTAAGACAAATCAATCAATCAATCAATTTGTATAATAAAAATATTGCTATATATGTAAAGACCATATTGCAATCAATCAATTTGTATAATCAATCAATCAATCAATCAATCAATCAATTTGTATAATAAAAATTTGTATAATCAATCAATCAATCAATCAATTTGTATAATAAAAGGGCAAAATAGTCTTTTCAACTTTTTCAGGGACCAAAACCACAAGAATTATTTTATTTTGGACCATTGGTACAAGTTGAAAACTTTTTGGACTCCATCCACACTTTTTCGCTAAACCACAGGGATCAATTTTGCAGTTTAGTCTATATATATATATATATATATATATATATATATATATATATATATATATATATATATATATATATATATATATATATATATATATATATATATATATATATATATATATATAGAGAGAGAGAGAGAGAGAGGAGAGAGAGCAAGGATCATTTGAGAACTCAAAGTTTCCCGAGAACCCGAGAACTAAACAATGACGGTTAGATTAAAATAATAAAGGGTTACGATGTTTTGTGACATTTTTGTAAATACCTGAAAATAAAAAAGGACGGTGGCATCTTATTAAAATAAATCAAGGGCATTAGGATGTTTTGTGACATTTTTGTAAATACCTGAAAATAAAAAAGGGACGGGGGCATCTTATTAAAATAAATCAAAGGCATTTAGGGAAAATGTAATTGATACCTCATTATCAGATTAATCACGTCGACTCTCTCTCTCTCTCTCTCTCTCTCTCTCTTCATCCCCTCCCTCTCCTTACACCTTCATCATGTCCACTTCATCGCTAACCGTTTGATGAAATCCAATGCCACCATCTGAAAGCCATGGTCGCCTCCGTTAATCCTCACCATATCAATTAATTGTCTTCTTCATCGTCTCTCCCCCACTTCTCTTTCTCCCTCACACGCATAAACACACACACACATACACACGTCTTTATGCCTTTGCGACGATGATTCCTTCGATCAGGATAACATTGATAAGAGATTGAAAGAGAACACCATGATGAGAAATCTCTCTCCTCCTATCATTGCCTCACCTCTTCCTGTTTCAGTCAATTGCAAAAATTAGGGTTTGCAATTGTTTTCTGATCCACAATTTCAATTTCGTGTTAAGATTCGAAATCAATAGACGAGACTAGCAGCACGACCATCACGAGTTAGAAATCGACACACGAGTTGGTGATGGAAGGGAAAAAACATTTGGAAGATACGATAGAATCGAGATTTCAGATATTATCTTCGATAAAATCAATGGAGCTCTCAATGAAGCTTGACTCCGATACAAAGTATATGTTGCAACTCTTTGTTCTGTTCTTAGTGCTATTCTAAATTCTAAGGTAATGTTTCCAATTTTTCAATAAGATCGTAATTTTCTCTTCATCTTCAAGTATTTGGTCCATTAGTAATCTGATTATCAAACTGTTTACAAACCTTGTAAAAACTATAAATCAAGGATGCTTGTGTGTTTGCTTTTGCTATGTTTAAGGGTTGCAAAACATGATATGAATAATGATTTTATGATATTTCATTTTGAATTTTTCATCTGCAAATGAAGGTCAACGCTTATGACATTGAAACAATGTTAACTGATGAAATAGATGTTGATTAGTTGGAAGACAGTGTCTCGGGAGAACTTATACAGCTCTATTATTTTCTGCAATTTTGCTAGACATTTTATGCTTCATCTTTGTCGGTCAAGAAATTTGGTTATCATTGTCTCTTATAATCCTTCATTTGTATTTTTTTTCATGTTTAACATATTTTTTAGACTTTTATCTTCATCAGAGTTTGTTATCAATCTGCTAAAAATACTTTCTATGCAGGATCTTGATGAAGGAAGCAATGACATTGATGACAAAAAGGCTTCCTTACTAATGATGAACTTCACTATTGAGGAAGTCGAGTTTGCAATAAACAAACTTGGTATTGTAATTTGTAATCCGAATAACTATGGTTGCTTCTTTTTTACGTAGCTAAATTTATAAAAAAAAAGTTTAACGTTGTAATTACATGTGATTCACATGTAAATTACATATGAATTATATGTGATTCACATGTAATTTACATGTAATTCACATATGAATCACATTTGATTCACATGTAAATCACATGTAATACTTATGTGAATTACATATGATTCACATGTAAATCACATATGAATTACA